TCCGGAAGCACTCTGCCGGCCAAAAACGGCCCACTCAGAGGCCCCACGAGGCCCACGCGTGGCCCGTTTTCAGTCTCCCCGGCCTCCAGAATCACTCTGCGAATCAAAAACCGGCCACACAGAAGCCCCATAATGCCTCTGCCCAGCCTTTTTTGGGCCAGCAGAGTGTTGCTGGAGGCCGGGGGGGGGCTGAAAATGGACAGTGCAGGGAATGCATGCACCACCACACCTTGTGGCCCGTTTTGGCTGGCAGAGGCACCGCAGGCCGGTCCTTTGATATTTCTAGGCCGGCCCCAAAGGCCAGATTTAAGCCTTGAGTTTGACACCCCTGTGCTAGGTTGTTCCCCATTTCAGTTTGGTGGGAACTAACCCACAGATCTAAAGTTGCCAAGTTTGGAGGCTCCTTCCCTGTACCTTATCTCTTCGGGACATGCATGCAACATCGCAGAGAGAAGGACCTTGAAAAATAATATTCAAGTGGCTGGCCCGCCCCTTGTCCCATTCTATGTGCACCCCTGTTGCCAGCTTACGGGCTTCCCAGTTGATTGACTGAAGACAAAAGCACATTTTTTTGTTTACCCTCACTGACGTCTTTGCACGCTGTGAAAAAGCACACTTGAGGCCAATAAGGAATGTTTATCTAAATATCAGTTATATGAACAGATGAGTAAATTTATTTTCATCTCTGAAATGCTTCTGGGAAGCTCCCGGTAAATGAATGTTATCTTTTCACCAAAACCAAGATAAGCACAAAATATTCCTGCCTGAAATTCTCCACTGAGCCCGAAGGTTTCAGGGTGGAGGAGTAAAGTTTTTCTGCAGAGTCCCAGGTCCTTATTTTGTGCAGCTAATCCCTAGATCGCAACTTCTTTGTGGTGTAAGGGTTGGAAATTTTAAAAAAATTTTAATCCTGAAGAAGTCAGTTGGGATTCTCAGTGAGACCAGGAATCCATTAGGGTCTTCTTTAAGGGCAAAGAGGATTGAAATCTAATGTATAAATTCTAACAGAATTAATTTTCAGCCACTTGGGTTGGAAAATGCCATTAGGAGCCATCTTTCTTTTTTCTTTTCTTTTCTTTTTTCTTTTCTTTTTGCTCTTTCCAAGCAAAAAAATATGTGCTTTTGAGCGCACAGGCTCAAAACAGTTTTGGTGCAATTAATGATTTTCAGCAGTAGCAGATGGAGCCATGGAGGCAGCTGGTAATATAGAAACTGCAGAAAGTAATGACAGTGACGCTACTATGCCATCCACAGGTGAGCAAGCAGGACAAGTCACATCATAATGAGAATCCTGATCATGACACATCGGTTGTGCCATGCTGATTTTGATTTCATAGATTTCCTATCAAATACAAATAGTGGGCCATGAGAAAATTTTGGTAGGCCACAGAGCACCCCACCCCCAAAGCAATTAATCCAGGCTGCGCAGAAACACAAGGCTGCACCGTCCACATGGCCTGCGGGAACCCTCCCCACTCACTCCATACCCAGCAAACTTGCCTGCTAAATTGCTATTTTTCCTTTTTTCTGACCATCATCTGTTCTGCTGTGCCAGGAGATTTAGATTAGCTAGGAAGCAGGAAATGGTTGGATTTCTTGCTTTCTAGCTAGTATTTAGATCTTAGGCTCTGCTTTTAAGTACAGCCGAACCTCCCTTAGGACTGAAGGTTCTATTATTCAGTGCAGACTCACGGCAAGCAAATTTTATGTGACAGACTGAGCTAGCCGATGGCAGATAGATAGATCACTGAATGGTTCTGTGAGCAACTCAATCTGCCTGTCTGCTTTGCCTGATTTTGGGTAAAAGTTGCTCTTTTTTTAAAATAAAAAATTCAATATTTACATACATGGTGTGTTGTAAGTTAATTTTGTGAATCTGCCTGCTAGCAAATTTTATGAGTTTGCTTGCAAGCAAATTTTATGTGACAGACTGAACTAGCCAATGGCAGATAGATTTCTGAATGAATCTGTGATTCTGTGAGCAACTCAATCTGCCTGCCTGCTTTGCCTGATTTTGGTAAAAGTTGCTCTTTTTTTTAAATAAAAAATTCAATATTTATATAAATATTTATAATATTTACATACAAGCCATGCCCGCCACTCACATGACCATCAAGCCACACCCACAAATTAGGCCTTGCCCAAAGAACCGGTTAGTGGTCCCTGGGATTTAAAATTATGAGTTTGGTGGTCCCTGAGGTCCAAAAGGTTGGCGACCCCTGCTCTAGTGGTTAAGGCAACAGGCTGGAAACCAGGAGACTGTGCATTCTAGTTCTACTTTAAGCCTAAAAGCCAAGCCAGCTGGGTGACTTTGGGCCAATGATCAGGTGACTGTGAGTTCTAGTCCTGCCTTAGCCCTGACAGCTAGCTGAGTGACTTTGGGCCAGTCTCTCTCTCTCTCTCTCTCTCAGCCCAATTCACCTCAGTTTTGTTGTTGTGGAGAAAATTGGAGGAAATATTAAACATGTTCATTGCCATGAATTATCGATAAAAACAATAAAAACCAGGTAAAAATAAACAACCCCCAATGTTACACAGATCATGACATCATCCATCATCTAAATCAGGGGTCCTGAAACTTGGCTACTTTAAGACTTGTGGACTTCAACTCCCAGAATTGCTCAGCCAGCATAGCTGGCTGAGGAATTCTGGGAGTTGAAGTCCACAAGTCTTAAGGTGGCCAAGTTTGGAGACCTCTGATCTAAATAGTGATGTGTCATTTGTACAGTGTCATCATGTCTTGTGGTAAACACCTGTGGCTGGTATCGGTTATTTGGTGCCTCTGAGCAGTCCAGGAAGAAGCTCAAAATCAAATCCAAAAATTGGCTGAACCAAACAGAAGAGCTTTATTTATTCTTTGTCAAAGAAACTTGGGTTGGCCAGACTTAGGTGAATAGGAATTTTTCAGTGATTATTCCTTGCCTCTCCAAGGAATCAGTCAAGAACTCCAAGGAGCCAGGAATAATTCTGCTGGTTTGGGGGTCTTCTGGAATGAAAATGTAGGCTCTGCCTTTGGAATTAAGTTCAGCAGAATCAAAATGGTGCTATCCCTCTTTATATAATCCTGGGTTTTAAATGCTTCTGGCAGCTGAATTCCTTAAAGAACTTAATTCTTCTTAACTGTCTGTCCATGTAGACCTGGTGTTAACTATGGTAATGGAGACCTCCCATTACCCTCATGACCATTGTAAAGCAGGCCGGTCCTGGAAAACAATCTGATTTTATGATCTTTTTTTGTGGTCATTAAGTGAGCACCACAGTCATAAAGTGACTGCCAGGGTCATTAAGCAAAGGCTGCGGTCATTAAGTGGTTAATTAAATACGTCCTTAAGTGCAGGGGCGGGATGCAAATATTTTTACTACCGGTTCTGTGAGTGTGGCTAGGTGGGCGTGGCTAGGTAGGCGTGGCCATGTGACTGGGTGGGCGTGGCTTCTTTTTTTGCAGCACCCTCTCCCCCGCGATCCTTTTCTTTTTTGCCTCCTGGGCCTCAGGGAAGATTCCTGGGTGAAGCAGTAAGACAGCGAGGGGGATCCTCGCTGATCGTTAGGAGGAAAAGAAAGAAAGAAATACTGGTTCGGCCGAACTGGTAGCTGTTTTTTTTTTACTACTGGTTCAGCCGAATGGTAACATTTTTTACTACCAGTTCGGCCGAACCGGTAGAATTCCACCACTGATTAAGTGGTTGTTCAATGGTTCCCTCTGGGACCAGTTTTTGCTGAAAACCAGAGATAAATGCTAGTTTTTTCATAAAAACATCATTAAATCACAGTTACATGGCTGTGGGATGTGGCTTGGTTGCAGTCACATGAACTCAGGAGGGCCCAACTGTTGGGACTTTGAATCTGGGTCCTAAGGTCCCCCC